CAAGGGCAGATTCCAATGAAGAAGTATTACGGAAGTTTTCCAATAGTATTCATGTGACCCCGAATTGATAGACACAAGCAATCTCATGAGTGGTGCATGACATGCTGCTGTTTCGATTGTGGATAGCAAACTGGCTTAAGGAAACTCTGCAAGATACTCTTTTCCATTTGCCAACTGCTTTAAACCTTTTTTATGCATTTCAGAATCACCAAAAGGCTGCCTCCCAACTTAAGAGAAACTTGTTGCAGGTTGCAACTTTATTACTAGCAAATTAGTAGGTGAAAATCCATGCACATGGCTTATAAGTTTTCGTGTTGTTTCCTCCACAAAGGCTCTTCTCCACTTAATAACCAAGTCCCTGACGTAGTCCCATCCGACTGTGTTAAGAGCAATAACTGGGCAGCAAAACATACAAACACCATTAGATTTAGTCATACAGTTGGAAGAACCTTCTAAGGCAGGCATAGAAATTGGATTTCCAGTATAAGCCATCCACCTAAAACCAACAGCAAGAGGTCTAATGCCCAGGTTTGCAGTTCCCGAACAGCCCCTAGCAACAGGGTTTGTGACAAAACTACAGCCCCTTTCCAAATCTGCTGATAGGACAGTAACCACTCTAGAGCTGCACCTCACAGGATGAACAACTGATCTGAACTTCACATGAAGTGAACAAGATAAATACATTTGTTGTTAGCAGAATGTCTGTAGAATATAGAATGATCAAAATCACTGCGAATCATGCCAAAGCTGTAGACAACGGCACTAAACCTCCCAAACCATGCACATGGAGATTGCTTCAAGCCATACAATGAACGACGTAATCTGCACACCATACCAGACTCCCCCTGAGCAACAAACCCAGGTGGTTGCTCCATATAAACTTCCTCGTGTAGATCTCCGTGAAGGAATGCGTTTTTTATATCCAATTGGAACAATGGCCAACGGCTCATTGCTGCCATGGATAAAACCAAACGAACTGATGCAATCTTCGCTACAGGAGAAAAAATGTCAGTGTAATCCAAACCATATATCTGAGTATACCCTTTCGCCACAAGGCGTGCTTTAAAACGATCAATCTCCCCATCAGGCCCAACTTTAACTCTGTAAATCCACCGACATCCCACCACTGATTTGCCAGCGGGAAGGGGGACTAAGTCCCACGTCCCACTAGAATGAAGAGCCTCCATCTCAGCCAACATAGCTTTACGCCACTCCGGGTGTGCCAGTGCCTCATGTGTGGTTTTAGGAATGCAGATATGAGACAAGTGGGAAATAAAAGCATAGTACGGGGTAGAGAGGCGGTGATCACTCAAAAAATTATATATGGGATGTGGATTCAGTGTAGAACGTGTACCTTTTCGGAGGGCAATGGGCAAATCATCCAAAGTGTTTTCAGGTGGTGCGGTAGTTGGTGATGATGATGCATGAACCGTCATAGGGGAATCAACTGGCGTGGCCACGATAGGCTCAATGGAAGGAGGTCGAGGACGATGATGGTATACCTGTAATGGAGGAGGGTCTACCATAGGAGGGCTGTGTGGGTGCTCATCAGATGGAGGGGAAATAACCGTTTCTGTATGGATGGGCCGGAGATATGAGATGAAGTCCAAACATGGAGTATTATCAGAAGATAATGGGTAATAAAAGGAGGACTCGATAAAAGTGACGTCAGCAGAAATAAAATGCTTCTTAAGTAATGGAGAATAACAACGATAACCCTTTTGGACTCGTGAATATCCAAGAAAAACGCATTTTATTGACCTAGCTGACATTTTAGATAATCCAGGTGTAAAATCATGGACAAAACACACACACCCAAACACATGAGGTGGTAATGGAAATAACTCACGACTAGGAAACAAGACAGAATAAGGAATTCCATTATCAATAACTGAGGAAGACATTCTATTTATTAAATAACATGCAGTGAGTACAACGTTTGCCCAATGCTGAGGTGGTGTATGTGAATGTAATAACAGAGTACGGGCAATATCAACTAAGTGTCTGTTCTTGCATTCAGCTACCCCATTTTGTTGAGGCGTGTGTACACAAGAAGATTGGTGAAGCATACCCCGTGATGTCATGAAATGATTAAAGGGTGCCGCATAAAATTCTTTAGCATTATCACTTCGTAAAACTTTGATAGAATGACCAAACTAAGTGTGGATTTCGGCACAAAAAGTCTGAAAAATATGGAATAATTCAGAACGTTCTTTCATTAAAAACAACCATGTGTAACGGGAAAAGTCGTCCACAAAAATAACAAAATAGCGAAATCCTAAAGTAGAAGTGACTCGATACAGACCCCATACATCTGTATGAACTAAATCAAAAGGGGACGCAGCCCGTTTATTAGCACGCCTTGGAAAGGATTTACGAGGTTGCTTTCCAAGGTGACATGACTCACAATCTAAAGACGAAAGGCTTGAGAAACCTGGAACCATACTCGAAACTTTGAGAGACTAGGATGACCCAAGCGGTTATGTAACGTTAATGCAGGTTCAACGGGGACACAAGCAATTGGATCAACAGGATGAAGATGATACAAGCCTTGAGATTCATGCCTGACGCCAATCGTCTTCCCTGAACGACGGTCCTGCACAGTTACCGAATCAGCAAAAAAGGTTATAAAACAATCAAGAGCACGCATGATTTTACTAACAGAGACAAGGTTAAAGAGGCTATTAGGAACATATAAGACTGAATGTAGTGGTAAGGATGAAAGTGGCAGTGCTTGCCCAATACCCGTGGCCGAAGTTTGATGGCCATTAGCCAAAGTAATTAAAGGAAGGTGTTGGTGCTTGGTAATATGGGATAAAAGATGGGGATTACCAGAAATATGGTCTGAAGCACCTGAGTCAATGATCCATGAGCCTGTGGTGTTTGAAACACATGCGGTAGACGTACCAGGTGTAGATAAAGGCACATTAGCAGACTTAAATTTCTGATATGCGGCATATTTGTCTGGAGGTAGAACAACCGGTGTTGAGGTTTATTCCTTCAACCCTCGGGTCCAACACGTAAGCCCAAGGATCTCGAGTGGAAGAGGTGTAGGAGTGTATGAATATTTAGCCCAACAACTATCAGACGGATCAGGAAACAGAGGAAATAGCAGGCAATGTAAATAGGTATTATTAACTTCGTAACAACTCCCCTAAATACAATCCACTTGCTAAAAAAGGCACGTCGGCCGTTCGTCTTACAAGGCAGTAGAAATGCTGCCAGTAAGAATGCTATAGCTAGAGTGCTAAGAATAGAAGGTTGCCAACCCTTTACAATGAAATAAATGCTTCTATTTATACCCACCAATGGACAGGTGGCTATACTGACGTGGAAGCCTGTGGACCGCTGGTGTCCCAACCACCAAATCTTCAGCATTAAATGCGCTTCCCGCCAGAATCTAGGTTTCCCGCCTAATTAGTGGGGACGTTCGTCCGCCCGGGGAGCGAGCTGGATTGCTCCAAGTAGCCCCCCAGAGAACTGGCCGTTCGTCCCCTGGCCTTTGTGGATTCTCGCCATGCGGGCTAGACCGTCTCCGATGGCTACGGGCTCGCTCTGACGACGTTCGTCGTCATTCTAATGACCCGTGGGCCTGCTCCCTGTCCCCGCATAGACGTCCGTCGAGATGGGCCGCTGGGCCTAACTCCCTATTGCAGACGTTCGTCCCTCCTGGAGGAAACATGGGCTCGCTAGGCTAGTCCAGTGATCTAACCGGACGTATGCCTGGTAAGAAAGGGGTGAATGGGCCGGACCCCGGGCTTGGGCCATTAACCCAACACAAGTCCCCCACTTCTGATGTTTTGAGCATGCACAGGACATAAGGAAGTATGAGTCCCGTGAAGTAGACGTTCGTGTCTTGATACTTATGTTTTATTGCATCCAGTGGAAGCGTATGCCCGTGATCATGTTGCTTGACAGGTGTTGACGGTTCAGGAAACGAGGTGACGGCTGCTGTAGCGGCGGTGCATTTTCCGAGGAAATGTCATCATTACGCTTCCACCCCACGCGCAGCGCGTGAGCCGGACTACGCTCCTCGCTACGTGTCGACCCCCTGTTGGTTCCCTCGCCGGTGCTTCTCCTATAAATGTCGGGTTTCCCCTCTGGATTAGGGTTCCCAACTTCTGCTCTCTTGCCCTTGAATTCCCGCTGCTCTTCAGTCTTCTCCCCCGCTTCCAAGTTCGGCTAGTCCCCTTGTAAGGTAATTTCCCTCCTCTGCTTCTTTTCTTGTTCTGACTTCTCGCCCAAATGACTTCGATGGAGATTTCATCAAGTTCTGGTTCTGGTTCATCGGGTTCCTCCGCGGGCTCCTCTTCTGATTCCGGTTCACGTTCCCCCGGAAAGGCTAGTGTTTCTGGGACTTCTGGTTCGGCCACGACAGTGGGGACCATCCGGGCTGATGGTGAGCCGGATGACGCTTCTCAAGGTAGTGGGAGCGATGTCGGGGATGGGAATGCCGACGGGGCAGTAGATGTTATTGATGCAGTCCCCCTGAACGAGCGCCCCGCTGATTATGACTCTGGGGAAGAGGCCGATTCCGGCTCCGACATGGAGGTACATGACCTGGGGATCCCCACGGACATGGAGCGCCACATTTGTCCGATCAGGAGCGCCCTCGACCACGATCAAGTCCTTTCCCGTGTGGCTCTCAACAAAATCCGCACTTTCTTCCCCCCGCCGTTCGTCTGGAGCGTGAAGGGCGCTGAGCATGTGATGAGGAGACGCCCGGGGATGATCATGCTCCACCTGGATTCCGTCGAAGCCGGGCTGCGGTTTCCACTTCATTCATTCTACGTGGATTTCTTCCACTGCTTCCAGGTGGCCCCGGCGCAATTCATGCCAAACTCCTACAGGTTCATATCAGCCTTCCTGGTGCGCTGCAAACTGGCGGGAGTCACTGCCACATTGGACCTGTTCCACTATTTCTATCGCATTACTCCCCAGAACTCTGACGGTTATCTGAGCGTGGCCGCACGTCCCGGAAGGCGGCTGTTCAAAAGCTACCCCTCGTCTATCCATGACTGGAAAAACCGCGTCTTCTTCCTTAGATACGATGGCCCTCCTCTCCCGGTTCGGTGGAATGGCTATCCCCCGAAGATTGAGTCACCGGAGCTGACCGACGATCTGATTTGGGACGTGGAGAAGGTGTTGGAGGGCGGCGTCTGCCCTATAGCCAGATACCTAACCTTCGAGGCACTCTCCGGGGCAGGCATAGGTTCACCGCCCGTGTCCCTGGACTTTTTTTCCACCCTTCGACGCTCGTCTCGGGGTACCGGGCGGTCCTGTCTTTCGAGGTGAGTGTCCTATTACATTCTTCGTTCGTCTTCTAACCCTTGATTGTTTCGTGCAGGTTCTCCACCAGATAAGGCCCAGATGAATCACGCTGAGTGTTTGAAGACAAGGAAAGCCAAGGCGGCTGCTGCTAAAGCCGCGTTGGCGAAAGCCAAGAACGCCCCTGCCTCGGACTCCAACTCTTCGGCCTCCGATGCTGCCCGGCGAACGGCTGAGGGTGAGCAGCACTTGATTGCCACCGTGCTGGCCCAGGGGTCCGGGGCCCCCGCTCTCGAGGCTGCCCTTCCACCGCCGGTCGTCCCCGCGAAGGCGGCTTCTCAGAAGAGGATAGAGAAGGTCCCCGAAAAGAAACAAAAGAGGGGCCGTGAGGCAGCCTTCACTGGCCCTCTGGTTGAAGACGCCGGCTCCCTGCCCTTGAGCCGCCCGGCGGAAGAACTTTGGAGGGAGATGGCCCTCAAAGCCGGTCTTGAGCTGCCCCGCCGTTCGTCTTCTGAGGCGACCAGCGCTGCCCTGGCAGCCTCTCTTCAGGTACCCCCTCATTTCTAGATCCGAGTACATCTTTTCTTTGACGTTCATTTTCTGACCATTGCCCTTATTTTTCCTTCTGTTGTCCAGTCTGGGCTTCTGGTTCTCCAGGCTGAAGCTGCCAGGGAGGCCGACCTGAGAGAGGTCAAGGCCAAAGCCGATGCAGCTGTTGCTACAGCCCGGGAGGCCGCCCGTCGAGCAGAGGCGGAGACTGCGGCCAAGGAGAAGGAGATTGCCGCCCTGCGGGCAGAATCCCGCAGACAGCTGGTCAGCCTTGAGAATGCTGGCTTCAAGCTTGTCGCGGTGCACCCCGCCGCGAAGGACGCAGACCCGGAGTGGCTGGTTGACACCTCCGGCTATAGGAACACTGGGGAGTTTATGGACTCTGCCAAGGATTATTGCGCCGGGGCCTTCGGCGACGTGTTCTCTGCGGCTTTGGCAAAGATACCGCCCCGGCAGCGTCTGGCGTGCGGCGTCCGGATTCTGGAGAGCTCTCCTCTGTCGCACAAGTTCCTCTATGAGGTCGGTGATAGCACCTTCGCCACCGGCTATAATGAGGGGGTTAAGGCCACCCTCCCCATTTTCTCGAGGCTGCAAGGGGCCGATTTTGAGCTGGCTGCGAACACAGACGACGATCTGCTGCTTCAAGCTCTAGGGAAACTGGGGAGGGACCAGCGTCGAGAGGAGGCCAAATCCAGAGGGGAGATTCCGGAACCCCCGAGCCCGAAGCTGAAGAGGAGGAGCAGATCCCGGGAGGCAGCCGGCCTGAGTCCCCCTTTATGGTGTAATGTAATTTATACTTCTTCCCATCTTGAACTTGTAATGCCCAGCCGTTAGAGCTGAAGAATATACATCCTTTTGCCCATAGTTGTCTCCATGTTCGTGATTTTTTACTTCATTACTTTTCTTTCCTTTATCGCCTGTTGTGTGGAATCTCCCTCGGTGCCTCGCTACACCTTTAACGCAAGGTTAAAGTCTGCGGGGACGTTCATACCTATCCCTCATTTTGTTTAGGGCAACGGCGTCCCCTTGCCATGCCCCCGTACGTACTCGAGTGCGTGGACGTACCGCGAGAGTTCGTCTTCGGGTGACGACGCTCGGCGCCGATGCTGGCTTGCCGTCCGGCCAGTATTCTGATAGCGACGTCCATCTTACAAGTGCGAGCATACCATCAACCGCTGTCTGTAGTCATTCTCAATGTCGCGGGACGACGTTCGTCGATGGTTGCCTCCTTGGTCAGTAATAAACTTCTCAAGTATGGAGATATGAACGTACTCCCCAAAACCAGCATTGATGACGATGTTCATCTGTCGTATGCGTAAACACGAATATTCATGTTGCGCGTGCTCTGCCCAAGCTCCGTAGGGAGACGTTCGTCTGGTCTAAATGTTCCCGTGGCGAAGTTCGGAAAGACGGACATAGCCCGTTGACACGTATGTCTCCCGTTAGCTGTCGATACTAGGCACAGCCGATGGTCGCGATCTCTGAGCGTCACTAGATCCCTTGGAGCTGGTAAACCCCTCCTGGCGGGACGTTCGTGGCATCGGTCCGGGTCTCCTTGCCGTGATTATGAGGTGATGGAATCGAGGCATCCTAAATGCCGTGGTAGGTACCGGTAGCTGGGTGCCACGTGTTCCACTTCGGTTGGTGGGATCCCACGGTGCTGTCTATAAGTACCCAGAAACCATGTGACCCATTCACACTTCTCATTACGCTGCACAATTACTTCCTCTCTCTAGATTTCCTACAAGTCATGTCCACCTCGAAGCCTCCCAGGTACCGTTCGTTGCCATGTCTTCTGAAAATCGTTTCGACGATGGCTGTTCTTCCGGCGATGACCTAGAATATTATGAGCGGGGAATGCCGCCTCGGCCCCCCCGTTACAGCCTCAGCTTCTCGTGCGTCCGACGTCAAATTCAACGCCTGACGAACGCTGACAGGCGCCTGATCAGCCAATGGTTTTATCCCCCAAGGTCCTACGACGATCGACGCCTGCGCAACCCCATGCGCCATCTGCCCGACTACGTGGTAGTCCATTTGGATTCGGTGATAGCCGGGCTGAACTTCCCTTTACAAAGCTTCCACTTGGAGCTTTTCAGGGCCCTCGAGATAGTGCCTGCGCAGTTCGTCCCTGCCGCCTATCGGATAATCGCTGGCTTCATCATTAGATGCCATAGCGTCGGCGTGACCCCCACCGTGGATCTACTGCACCATTTCTTCCGGCTGTCCCCCTTCGGACGTACGAGGTACTTGACCTTGATCGCCCGTCCGTCTATGGTCCTGTTTTTGAACAACGCCGGGAATCCGGACGGCTGGGAAGAACGCTTCTTCCTGGCCGGAGTAGGCTCACCGATGCCATTCTCTGACCGGTGGAATGCCTACCCGGTGAAGACGATTCCGCCGCCCATGACGGATGAGGAACTCGGGCATGCCAAGCGCATAGCTGGACTCGGCGTCCAGAACCTCCGGTTGCTGGTGGCCGAGCCTTTTAAAGCTCGGGCTGGGTTAGGTGCGTCCGTTTGTACTTGTATTGTTTTATCATCTCTTCGCTGTTATGGCTCTGAACGCCTTGGTTCCTTTTGTGCAGGAGTTTTCCCATCTACGGTCACCATGGGTCGTACCAACAACACTTCGACTGCCGCTGGCCGTGAGCACAAGGGTCATGATAAGCTTGAGAAGCCGCTCGTCCCTAAGGTCGAAACTCGGGTGACCAGGGCACGGGCCGATGACACTTCAGGGGCCGGTGCTTCCAAGAGGCCACGTGTCGAGGGTACTGCTTCCAAGGCCATCATAGTGGCCGATGACTCTGATGGTGAGCCCAGGAGTCCCCTCAAGCGGAAGCCCACTTCTCGGAACAAGCCTCGTGTTTCTCCTCCGCGGAATTCTGACGTCCGCCGACTCCGGGATGATGATGTCCAAACTGCCAAGGGTTCTGACGACGCTCGTCCTCTTTCGCCCCCAGAAACCAATGGGTCCTCCCTTGGTTTGATTGAATTTTCCGGGGTCGGACCCCGCAAGGAGTCGATGATGCTCTTTGGCCAGACAGCGTCCTCCATCTGGTGTGGCCTGAATCTCAAGGTTCCCCAGGACTTCGCCGCTCAGGAGGCCCATGAAAACCTCTTGGAGTGTGGTCAGAGCACCCTGGATAAGGCCGGGCTCTACTTCCATAGGGCTCGGATGGCTTTCGAGCACCAGGGTAGGGAGATGGCCAGAGTACGGGCTGAGTGCGATGCCCTTCTGAGGAATGCCAAAGGCAGGGCTGGATCTCTCCAAGAGAAGGCCGATGCCTATGATAAGCTTGTCCAGGAGAATGCTTCCCAGAAGGAGCTCCTCAGGAAACAGGAGGCCGAGCTTGTGGACCTCCGCAGCCGGATGTGGGCCGTAGAGCAGGCCAAGGTGGAACTCCGCCGTACGGGCGTGGACAACCATGTTCCCATTTATGAGGCCGACGTTGCCAAGATCAAGGAGTCTGGCTCTATCGCATTTCAGAAATCCAAAGCTTACACTGGTGCCATTCATACCATGGCCATGAAGTTTCTCCCGAGGCTCGTCGGTGAGTTTTTGGCCACCTGCCCGGACGCCTATCTGGATGGGGTTAAGTTGCTCCAAGCCACCCCCACCGGACGGCGTTTCCTTGATGATCTCGCCGATGACACCTATCGTAAGGGCATGGTTGGGCTAGTAGCGGAGAATCTCCCGACGTTCGAGCGTCACTTCGGGGCTCCTTTCGATCCGGAGGCGGCTGGCTTTTGACTTTCTGATGGCGGACGCTCATGCGGGGGCCCTTGAACTACTGAAGGAGCGTAGGGAGCAGGAGGAAGTCGAAGCTAGAGAAAAGGCCAAGCAGACTCTTTCTAAGGCTCCAACTCCGGACGTCGGTCAGCAATAATTCTCCGTTCATTGTCTTGTACTTGTACTAATTTTTTCATTATCCACATTGTACTTAGCACATTTGTTACTTTCCGGTCATCAGTACCGAAGAATAAGAATCGTTGTTTGCTCCGTGCTCTTCTGGCATCTCTCTCTTTTTTTTTGGAGTCTTTTAGTCTTCGTTCGTCCTTGGTTCTTGGTCCTACCGGCGTTCTTACTTCGAAGGGACGTCTGGTATCCTCGAAACTCGCAAGGAGGAACAGGTTTATCTGCATCGAGATTCCCCCTTTTTCGTTCGTCCGTGGTCCTTTTAGTCCTACCGGCGTCTCTTGCTTCGAAGAGGACGTTCGGTATCCAAGGAACTCGCAGGGACGAACTGGTTTACCCTCACGGGTTCCCGGCTTTGTTACCCCACGTCCATCGATCCATGGTCATTGTGGGATAAACAGGTTTATCTTGGCAAAGCTCCCTTGGTTCGTCTAGCGCCCCCCGCGTCTCTACTAACCTCTACATCGAGAGGCGTTCGTCTTCGGCGGTGGGAGAAGATCTGGCACGCCCGGGCAAGATTCCCTTCCACATAGGAGCTCTCCTCCTCTTCTCCCCATCTTGGTTAATTTTTTTTTTTTGGGGAGGCAATCTACATTCTTTTTCGTCCTCGGTCCTACCGGCGTTCTTACTTCGAAGAGACGTTCAGTATCCGCGGACATCACAATGAGGAACAGGTTTATCTTCATCGAGATTCCCTGGTGCTTCGTGCGTCCCTGGTCCGGGGTTCGGCCGATGCTTCTTGCCTCGAAGAAGCCGATCGGTGGCCGCGAGACTCACAGGGACGGACAGGTATATCTACATCGAGATTCCCTTCCTTGACGGCTGTTGGTAAGAGTAAAACTGATCAAAAACAGGGGGCCTTATTATTGACGACGTGCGGTTATTTTACATGGTCGCAGGAATAATACAAAGACAAACGGCCTCTAACTATTGATAGAACTTCTTCAGGTGTTCTACGTTCCATATTCCGGCATGGTTCCCCTCCAGGGTATGGAGGAGGAACGTCCCCTGGTTATATCTTCTGATGACCCGGTAAGGCCCTTCCCAACTTTTAGCCATCTTGCCACCCTCGAGTGGTTTGCTCTTCTCTCTTTTTCTGAGTACGAGGTCCCCGGCCTCTATTTCGCGGAATTTCACGGCCTTGTTGAAGTATCTCTGTGTGGCCCTGTGGTACTCTTCCATGCGACGAGCCGCTAGGTCCCTCCGTTCCTCGATGAAATGGAGCTCCGCTCGTAGGTTGGCCTCGTTGTCCTCCGGCTGGTAATGCTTGGTGCGATGTGTGGGCACCAGCACCTCCGTTGGCATCTTAGCTTGGAAACCATAAGCCAAGGCAAAGAGGGTTTCCCCAGTCGCCGTTCTCGGCGTCGTCCTGTACGTCCACAAGACATAATTCAGCTGCTCCGGCCAGGTGGAGGTGTAGTCTTCTAACTTCTTCTTGATGCCATCCATGATGGTCCGGTTCATGTTCTCCACCTGGCCGTTTGCCTGCGGGTAGGCCACCGAGGCCTTAGAGTGCCTGATACCCCACTTCGCCAAGTATGCCTCAAATCCTCTGCCGACGAACTGCCGGCCGTTGTCGGTGATGACCTGCTCCGGAATCCCGAAGCGGCATATGACGTTCTGCCAGACGAACTTCTGGCACTGGAATTCAGTGATGGAGGCCAGTGGTTCGGCCTCCACCCACTTTGTGAAATAATCAATCGTCACAATGACGAATTTTCTTCCTCCAGCGGCCGTTGGCAGAGGACCCAGCAAATCTATGCCCCACCTAGCAAAAGGTAGTGCGATGGTCATCGGGGTGTAGAAGCTCGCCGGACGTCCAGGGACAGGCGCATACTGCTGGCATACTGCGCACTTCCGAGTATGGTTGAAGCAATCTTGCTGTATGGTCGGCCAGTAATAGCCCTGCAGGATGATTTTCCTGGCCAAGGT